CTCAAAAGAGCCAGAGGGAAGCAGCAAAACCTGAGCTCACCTGCCACATCAAGGACTATATTTCACTTCATAAGATCTTGCCTTTCTTTTGCCCTCACCACTCCTGCCATGAGCCCCTTTCCCATTGCCACGTGCCCTCGTTAACTGAGCCAGACCCCAGCTCTCAGCAGGCTGCTCACTATGTCCCAAAGCAATGGTCACCACCCAGCACAAGTCCATCTCTTGCAGGAAGGAGGACAGGCAGCCCTTGGGAAATTTTTTACACCTCAAGCACCAAAAACCAGGCAAATAATTAATGTCCTTCCTGTTCTACTTAGAAAAAGGCCCAGAGCTGTGCCTGGCTGTGAGCAGGGGTGCTTCTCACCATGGGCTTTCCAAGTGCTTTCCAAGCACTTCTTTTCTTATATCAAGCTAGGCAGAACCATCTCATTAAGCAACCCTCCTCCTTTGGAGCTGCAGCCAGCAAAACCCCGTGCAGGGCAGGGTGCTGGTGGTGGGTGCACGAGGAAAGACGAGCAGCTGCAAGGAGAGTGCTGGTACCTGGCTGTGATGGGCAGTGCTGACACCTTCTTGCCAACACCAACCACGTCCACCACCAGCTCCATCTGGTATGGCCCCACAGTGTTGGAACACAAGGTGACCTGGTGGAAGGGAAGAGCAGCAAATACTTCCTCACTCCCAAAGGTTCATCATAGTTGTAGTGTCCTCCAGTTCTTGTTCCATGGCAAGGAAAGGAAGGATTTTGCCTTAATTCTTCTGCTGGTCCATGTGTAGAGTGCAATCTCTGGGAGCAACAAAAGCCTTCTGGCAAGATCGGATTTATTAAACATATCTTGAAGTTATCAGGGCATAGGTAAACTAGATTAAAGCACCATCAGACTGATGCTCTACTCACCACTTTATTCAAATTAAGGGATCAATTTTTCACCTGACTACAATGACATAAATGCAGAGGAAATCTGTTGACTTGAACAGAATGAACAGCATGTGCCCAGTTCCAGAGCTGTGTCAGCTTTACAGC